CCAAAGCATAAATATAGATTAGTAATTGGTTTAAATACTTTTGCTGTAATCTCTTTGAACAAAATATCTCACATATTCTCACATAATGATGTAGAAGTCTATCATTGGGGATGTATTTTCATGTGTGGACAAGGAACGACCCCACGATACAATTCCCAGCAAAGAAATCACAGACTGCAGCAAATAAGAGAGTCCAAAGTTCCCAAAGACAGATGCACATGTAGATGTTATTTTTGAAAGCAGCAACAGCCAAATTAGCTGCAAGAATGAAAGAATAAGCTTGCAAATGATGCAGTTTGAATCATTTGGGCCATAACAGAAAAATTAATAGTTCAAAATGGGTTGCTTTAGCAGGCATTTTATTTTGTAATTCCTGCATCAGTGAACTCTGAAATATTTGACTGGCACAGGACACCAAAGGATCTAAAAAAAATACAAAAAGCGCTCCAGCAATGCTGGTTGTGACTGCTTTTATACAGGCTTCTGGGACAAATCGTGAGGAGTCTTAAAGAATTCACGAAGTAGGAACAAAAATGGAGTTCTGCCTATGATATATTTTGTCCACCTGACTGTCTTGCACAGAAGGTCAAACGTAATCAATACAAACTACAAAGTGGTACCTCTTTACAATCTGCAGATTATGTCTCAGTGTATTGGAAGCACAGTGATAACCAACATAATAGCTCAGGCACACAAACAACAAGGCTGAAGTTTGTATATGCTTGCAATGTGATACTGGAACGAGCAATTTTGGAGAATGGACAATTGTTTATTTCCAGAAGGAGTTTAGTTTTACTCAGCTTATCGGGAGCCCCAAATAGCCACAAAAAATGAGGGAAACAGAAATGGGAAGAAAAGTATGTAAAATTAAGAAAGTGGAGAATGTTCATATTTTGCTCTGCTAAATTATCATGCAATGCGATTAGCAAATAATATAACCACAGATAACTACCACTGGGAAGGAAACAGAAAGCAATCTGAGATAACTGTACACCATTTACATAAATTGGCATTTTTGGACATTCCTTTGAATGGAGAATGTGGAAGGTGTTATTCAGTTAAGATTATGGCATTCAGGAATGGAATTCAGTGAGTGAGAGTAGGGAGACCACCATGTTAGAAAAAGATGAGAAACTATACAAGAAGCTTTTTGGAATAAAAATCACCTCAATGATTGGATGCAATGGAGTCCATTTTACATTTTCTTTCCATAGTTCACTGTGGTAAGTACACTGTATCAAGTACACTGAGTGAAGCCAGCTGCACTGAGTTCAGTCTGGTGCAGGCTGAGCGCTTGAATTTGTGGAGTTTCGTGGACAGTATTATTCAGTTACACGAGACACTGCTAAGTCGTGTGCAGTTGATGTTTGTCAGTACTGTCACAGTATAATGAATTAGCACATAGACTCCATCTAGTGGATAATGTACGTGCAGTGATTGTCCCGAATATTGTCGTGACGGTGGAGAACACCCTCAGAGGACTCCTGCACATGCTGTGCCATTGTGTTGGGTGTCAGCCAAAACTGTGACTGAAGGATGGAAATGGAGACAACAGATGAAATGGGCTCATGGCTGGGAGTAACTGGAATGGGGAAAGGCCCTCTCGTGGTGCAGAGGTAGTGTCCCTACCCCGTGGACTGGGTTTAAGTCCCACCTGCTGCATAGATGTATAATAACATTTCTGAATAGGTTGACTGGGGGAAAAGAACATTAAATTAAAACAAAAAACTGGTCTCCCACACAAAATAGAAAGGAAATGTCTCCCTCAACTGCAATTCCCTCATGTTGGCCAAGCCAATGTGTTCGAGAGAAGCTTTGGGAAGAGCTGGAGGTAAAATGGGATTGAAATAGTTGGGTGGGCTGGCTGTTTTTCACCCGTGCAGACTCGATGGGCTGAAGGGTGTTTTTCTCTGTGCTGTGAACTTGTATAACTGTAAATATTGTGAACCCAGCTCAGCAGGGGTTGAAAAAGGACAATTCCTGACAGACAGCGGTGACTCTGCGAGAAAAGCAGCACTTCCTAGCATGTGGGCCACACTCGCTTTGTTTCAGGGTTCGAGTGGCAGGCTCGCGAATTAGGAGACCACTGAAAACTTTTGGGAAAGTTCAGCTCGAACCCTGAACACAGGGGATGCAAGTTGTGTTTTAAGACTGGGAGGGTACTTTCTCAGGGCGAATACACAAACCTTTACTGTCTCAGAGAGACACACCACCTCTGCCTAAGCATTCACCTGTTGTGTGTTGCTGTGTTTTAAGATGGTGGCTTTGGGGCCCCACATGCAGATGGTGGATCGTGCAGCCCATAGGTCACAGACCACACACGGGTTCCATGCTCCTTCTTACAGCCAGAAACAACAGCAAACAGTGCTGCAGAAACTCAGCAGGTCTGGCAGCAGTTGTGGAGAGAGACACAGAGTTAATGTTTCGGGTCACCCTTCATCAGCTTCTGACAGCCAGGTCCATCTCCCAAGTAGAACAAAAATCCAAAACGGTAAACTCTCCGCAACAATTGTTGTGGAATGTCCCCACTCATAAGTGAGTGTGTGTGTGAGGGAATGTGTGAGTGCGGGAGAGTGTGTAAGGGAGTGAGCGTGTCTGTGAGGGAGTGAGTATATGTGTGTGTGTGAGGGAGTGAATAGATGTGTGTGAGGGAGTGAGTGTGTCTGTGAGGGAATGAGTATATGTG